GGCCCCACTTGAAAAAAATTTGCACAAAGCTAAAGTACACCCCAACTGATGATCTTACAGAGAACTTTGATATGGTGAGGAATGTTATAGTCCCCTCTTGGTGAGCACTGCTTAACTCTAGCTTAGCTTTTTCATTGTTCATTGTTTTTATTTTTGCTTAAGTCAGAGCTCATCTTATGTAGTTCATCAAAAGCTCTCATCTTAGTCTTTTGACAACACTAGCTAGGCCCTCCACCATGCTTACCTTGCTATGGCTCATTTTTTTAAGGCCTAGAAAGATGTGGTTGCCCTAAACAAAGAGCATAAAAAAAGCTCAGATGTTCTAGGCAACATCAGGTCTAGCTTCAGTGCATCTCACATAAATGAGGTCGCGCAAAGAAAGAGAATAGATGAACTAACGACCAAATTGGAGACCTTTCACATTGAGAAGGCCTTAAAAAAGTTAATGAGGGAGTAGGTTGAGTTAAAACTTAGTGATGCTCAGGTTGAGATAGCTAGGCTAAAGTTTAAGCTGGTAGCTAAGAAAAAAGAAAAAGAAAACCTAAAAAGGAATGCCATTAAGAACTTCAAGGCTCTAGTGAATTCTTTAAGCTCTAGGTAGAATTCTCTATGAATAATGTGCTCAATGCCTTTAAGCTAACCAAAAATAAGGTGCAATTCATATTTGTCGACCTCAACCTTGATCTCTTTGATATTGATATCAACAATATTAGATCGAGACCTCTTTTGAATCAGTCCAAGGGGAAAGAAAAAGAAAAAGATAAAGATAGGGCACTAAATGTTGAGCTCAAGGCTGCTCTAAGGGCAAGGCCAAAGTGGATGAGATTAGGGAGGCTTAGGGCAAGGTTGTTACTACTACTCTTACTAATAAATGTGTCACTACTACTGCTACTACCTGATGTTGCTCTCACATTGCTCTTTTTCTTTTTTATTTTTTTTATTTTTTATAAATTTTTGTTTAAAAAAATCGATGTAATGTATGAGATCGATTTTTATTGTGACCTTGAATAGGTTTTTTCAAAGAATTTTTGTACTGATTTGAAATAAAGTATACTTACTCAAAGAAAGTTTAATTTTTATTAATAATATGTTCAGCATTTTTTTCTTTACTCAAAGAAGTTTAAGCTCGGTTAATTATTGTTATGGCCATCATGACATAAGCGTTATAAACTTGCCTCAAACTGTCTAAAATGAATTAACCGATATTTGATTTGACTGAAAATAATCCCAACTTTAAGTTTCGTTAAAGTGTCTAAAAATTCACCTAAATAACCAGGTGTAAATTATTTGAGAATCCATCTAAAACCTCAGGTCAAATTTTGTTAGGTCGGTTAAAGCGAGGAGTAACCATGGACGTGGTGAAATGAACATAATCATTACAACTACATTGATTTTAGAGTTACAAGTGTGAGCTCAACGACTGATCATACACTTTTAAGTTATTCGCATTCTATGTTCTTAGAATAGTGTTGTTATTCATGTTTTATAGCTTGTAAGTCATGTCACAAACGATCTCTTTGACTACATATGGTCATTCTTAGGTCAAAGCTAATTTACCACCTCGATCACCAACTCCTGAGGCTTTGACCTTTCTAAGTACTAAGTTACCCTTCGAGATGTTCTTACGTTGAATCTTTTTATTATAATAGTTGGAGGCCCTTTATTGATAAGTTGCTAACTGTGTTAGGACTACATCTCTTTATTTTTTAACGAGGTTTAGGTCGACCCTCAAAACCTTTTCATTTTTTTTCTTCTGACCCCAATTTGACTCTTAAACTTAGAAGGTCAATCTCAAAGCACCACGACTTCCATTCCAAATGCTAGGTGGAATGACATTTCTCTTATTAGTACCTTAACGATTATCCTCAGGGCCCATAATACCCTAAGAAGTTTGTCAACCCATTTTCTCTTCCTTTCATCCAATCTTTTTTTCAGGGCTTCTAATATTGTCTTGTTCATGGCTTCAGCTTGTCCATTAGATTGAGGGTGTGCAATCGACATGAATCTTAGGTCAATGTGAAGGTTGAACACCACTCTTTAAACTTTTAGTTTTGAATTGTTTGGCCATTATCCGTTATTATAGACCAAGATAGGCCAAATCTACAAACTATGTTTTTTACACAAATTTCTTGACTTAGGTCACCGTCGTAGTGGCCAAAGCCTTAACTTCAAACCATTTGGTGAAGTAGTCTATTGCTACTAAGACGAACTTCCTCTTACCTGTAACTGGTGTGAATGGTTTGAAGACATCCATTTTTTACTATATGAAAGGCAAAATGCTAATGATAAGAATAAGCTCAATCAAGTAGAGATATTACACATGGGCGAACCTCTGACATTTATCGCATCTCTTAACTAATTTGGTTACATTCTTCTAATAGTGGGCCAATAGTAGCCCTACTAAGCACTTTATAGGTTAATGGTCGAAGTTCGAGGTGGCTTCTATATATTCTTTCGTGGATTTTTCATAAAAAATAGTCTATTTTTTCTTTAACTATACATCTCAGATAAGTAGGTTAAAGATCTTTTGTATAAATTTTTCATTAACCATCGTGTATCGAGAAGCCTTCCTCATTAATGCTTTAGCTCAAAACCCTCTCTTCAAGTAGCATTCCTATGGTCAGGTATACCCTAATTGGGGTTATCTAAGATTTTTTTTTTTAAGATTTATCCTACGAGCTTTTCCTTAATGTTTTTCTATACCAATTCTTTCACCATGATTGGATTTAAACTCTTTATTATTATTTCTGAAGCCAACTTAGAAAAGGAATCTATTAGTAGCTTTTGAACCTCAATATACTTCTTTACATCAGTTTTCTCAAAATCGATGACTACTAAGGCTAGTGCTTGTCTAGTTATTTATTAATCCTATCTTTTTCAAGCTTCAACTCTCTATTTATCTGATGCGATCACTAATTAAGAAGTCTCTATATATGGCTTATATTTGAATATATCAAACTTGACTACCAACTTTAAACCCGTTATTAACCCTCATACTCCACCTCATTGTTAGACTCTTTGAATCTAAACCTCATGATGTATTGATATTGTAATCCTTCTAGACTAATTAAAATGAATGCAGCTCCTCTATTGTGGTTTTGTGGCCAATCCATCGATAAAAAACATTTACCTGTCCTTATCTGAAGTTTTCCCATCTTTTTTGGGTCATTCTTCAAGATGGGCTAAGATAAGCTTTACAATAAAATCTGCTAACACCTAAGATTTCAAAGTCAACCTAGGCAGTATATGTAGATTAAATTCATTGAGCTCTATTGCCTACTTAATTAATCTTCATGATAATTTCAACTTCTATAAGACCTGTCATAGCAATTGATCAATTAATAAATAGATCACAAAAGCTTAAAAATACAACCTGAGCCTTTTGGTCAAGGTGACAACTGCATAAGCTAATTTTTCTATATTGCCGTAGTTTATTTCTAGCCTTGTCAACACCTTACTCATAAAGTAAATTGGTCTTTACCTTTTCTCTTCTTCTTAGACTAAA